GATTACTATGTCTCTCCCCAGTGAGACTTGGGGCTCCATGCAGAAGATAAAGAAGGGGCCATGTTAGTCTAGGTCACCCTCTTTCTCCCTGCCCCTATGCTTGGCACTTGATCAGGGGCCTGGTACACAGATGGCACTGATAAAATGCTTGGTGAATGAGCCTCCTGTTTCCCCAGCTTATTAGTTTCCTATTGCTACTCTAACAAATTACCACAAACTTAGTGGCTTAAAACAATCCCAGATTATTAGTTTATAATTCTAGAGGTCGGAAGTCTGGAAAGCAAGGTGTTGGCAGAGCTACGTTCCTTGTGAAGTCTCTGGAGGAGAGTTCTTTCCCTTCCCCAGCTTCTAGAGGCTGCCTGCATTCCTTGGTTCGAGGTCCTTCCTCCATCTTCAAAGCACTTCACTCCAACCTTGCTTCTGTTGTCACATTGTTACTATTGGAGCATCGAGTTCCGAGTTCCGGTAACACACACACCTCTAGGTCCTTTTCACTGCTGGAGAAATGAAGTTCAACTTAGCGAATATTTTATATATGAATATTTAATAAAATATTCATTTATTAAAAGCACATTATGAGGTAGAAGACAGGTTAAGCCTAAAACTGGCTAGCTGTAACCCAGGAGGAGGGGAAAGTCCGCATTATATTTGGGGCTGTGATGAGTGGTTTCAAAGGTGTTTTTAGGTGTTTTCGGCAAGTGAGGTCATTTTGATTGACACCTGGCTGCTCTATAACTCTTTGCCTAGTGTGCACATGTGTACCCAGAATTCTACTACCATCGGGGTGTTCTTTGGGCGGTCTCTAGGCCGCCCAAATTTCTTTGTTCCCCCTGTCGCTCATGTCTGACTAGCTACCTAACAACATCACTTTCTCCCACTTTGATCCCCTTACCTCCCTCTTATAAGAACCCTTGTGATTACATTGGGCCACCCAGATAACCCAGGAAAATCTCCCAGTCTTGATGTCGAGGTCCCTTTTGCCATGTAAGCTAACATATTCACAGATTCTGGGAATTAGGACAGGGGCATCTTTGAAGGGTGAGCATTATTCAGCCTACCACGCCCAGGCCCCAAGACAGAGCTGGGTGTGGCCTGCATTCAGGCATGCTGGCCACTGCCACAGGGCCCAGTGACTGACCACCTCTTCCCCCTGCAGGACGAGATTGAGGAGCTGCGGGCAGAGATGCTGGAGATGCGTGACGTCTACATGGAGGAGGATGTGTACCAGCTGCAGGAGCTGCGCCAGCAGCTGGACCAGGCCAGCAAGACCTGCCGCATCCTGCAGTACCGGCTGCGCAAGGCTGAGCGCCGTAGCCTCCGTGCTGCTCAGACCGGCCAGGTGGATGGTGAACTCATCCGCGGCCTAGAGCAGGACGTCAAGGTAAACCCAGGGTCTCCCCAAACCCCCATAGGTGGACCCTGAGTCTGAGTGGGGCCCAGATCAGCCTGCAGCTTGCTCCTTGTATGTCTTTGGGCAAGTCACACCACTTCTCTGAGCTTCAACTTTCTCGCCTGTAAAGTGGGGATCCATGGTGAACCAACAGGCCACTGACCAGGGATGTCCCAAAGTGATATAATATGAGTCCTACCAACAGCAGCTATTGTCTGAGTAGCAGCCACATACCTGGTGCTGGCTCTGGGGCTCTGGTTGTCCCTACATAGTTCTGTGAAGGTTTTGTTATTGTGCTGATTAATGGGAGAGTAGCGAAAACCTGGAGTTGGATTGGTCTGGTTTAAATCTTGGCTCCAGTATCCCCTAATTTTGTGATTTTGAGCAAGTCACCTGCGTTTCAGTTTCCTCATCTGTAGAACGAGTGTAATGGCAGCCCCCACCTCACAGGGTTTTAAGATGGTTAGATGTGATAATGTAGGTAAAACATCACTACAAGCACCCAGAATTATTCCCATTTTCTGGATGAGGAAGCCACAGCTCAAAGAAAGGAAGTACCTGTTCACAGTCACGTGACCTTCATCCTCCCGTGCCTCGCTGCCTTACCTCACAGCCTGACCTCGCTGCTATGCCTCAGTGATCAGTAGAGGGGTGGGCCGGAGGCTGGCAGATGAGGCCTCCAGTAGAGAGGTCTACCCTGCCTCTCTACCCTGTGAGCTCCGGATCAGGGGCTGAGAACTTGGTGGGGAGAAGACCCAGCCCCCTGCTCTTAGAACTCAGCCCAGTGTGATCAGGGGGGATGTAGGAGCTGGGGGTGGGGCACCTGGTGCAGCCAACCAGAGGCCCCTAGGGAGTCTTCCTGCAGAGGTGACATCTGAGCTGAGGCCTGAGGCAGAAGCGGGTGTGGTGAGAAGGGGAAGGAGAAATTCTGGAGGAAGGGGCCCCTGGACAGGCAGAGGGAGGTGAACAGTGAGTGCCAGCCTCCACGTTCTCCGGTCTCCTTGTGCACTGTGGGTTCAGGGTCTGTTTTATAGGTGAGGAAACTGAGCTCAGAAAGGTTATGTCTCCAAGTCCAAAGTGCACCTCTACCTGAGAGGGCAACTCTTGGGACAAGTGGTGACACAGATATTCAAACCCCAGGCACTGGATTGGGGGTTCTATGGAGTGGAGAAGAGCCAGGGAATCTCAGAGGAATCTGAGTTTGGGCCCAGGTAGTTGGGGATTTTAGGCAGAGACACAGAAAGTCAGCCTTGGGGCGATGAGGAAGGGTGGAGGGGGGTAGGAGCCGGGAGCTGGCTGGCTCGGTTGCCTGGGCCTCCATGGGAGGAGCTGAGAAGGGCTGGGGGGAGGGGTGTGTGTGTGTGTGTGTGTGTGTGTGTAAGGGGGGTCGGGCTTGGTAGAGGGGAGGGGAACGGCCCCTTCTGTTAGGATTTGAACTAGCCAATCAGCATCAACCTTTCCCTCTTCCCTCCCTCTTCTCCCTGCTCAGCAGCTGGAGTGCTGAGCTCACCACACATGCCTGGGCTGGATGCCTCTGGCCACCACACTTTACCCTGTGTGCTGAAGGTGCTCTAGGGCATTTTTTTGGAGGTCTTCAATGTGCTGACTTCCTGGGTACCTCCTGGGAGGGCTGGATGGACCCAGGTGGAGACATGTCCAGGAGCTGCCTAGGAGGGTATCCCTGGGGACTCTCTGACTTGCTCTGCCAGCTCCTTGACCCATGCCCCGACTGGCCCCCACCTCTTAGGGCCTCAATTTCCTCCTCCGTTAAATGTGGGGCTTAGACCAGCCAAATTTTCAGGGCTTTTGCAGCTCCAGTGGCTTTATCAAGCAGGGAGGTCGTTGGTGAGGGTGCCATGAATGAAACCTCTGGCTTTGGTCTCTCCCCCTCTCACCCTCTCCCTGCACCCAGGCTCTCTCGCTCTCTGCCGGTCCTCATAGCCTACGAGACCTACTGAACCTCAGGGAGAAGGAAGCAGGGCAGAGACCCGCTCTGCTGCTTGCTTGCTATTTGGCCTCGGGAAAGCTCCTTCACATCTCTGAGCCTCAGTTTCCCCATGTGGAAAATGGAGATAAAACTAATCCCTACCTATAGAGATTTTTGTGAGAATAAAATGAAATAAAGACAATGCTGAGCACAGTGTCTGACGCAGGATGCAACATATCTAAGCAAATGAGCGAATGTTGGTTGTGGTGTTATTGTTCAGGAGAATTTATAACTTATAGACTTATAAAGCACTGGCAGGACAAGTGGCCAGAATCCAGCCTCCCAGGTGGATTAGAATACCCGGAGGGCTTGTTCACAATGCAGATTCCCAGGCCCCGAGTGTCAGGTCCAGGATCCAGGAATAAATTCCTACCTGGTGGGACTCCTGTAGAAGGCTCAAGAACATGCCAGCAAAACATTTCCTTTCTGAGAAATGTTGCTGGAGAAAAAGTTCTGGCTTTGGGTTTTATTCCTGGGTGACCCAGGTAGGTACCTCCCTTCTTTGAGCCTCAGTTTCCTTATCTGTAAAATGGGGGTGACATTCCCACCCTCCCAGGGTTCCTGGGAATATTTAGCCACACAGAGCTCAGATGCTGCCTTGCCAGGGGAGTCCCTTAGTGAGTTCCCATCTCCCTCCGAGAGGATTCAGAATGACAGGGACACCCTGAGGCCCCTGAGGGCCTGATGAATGAGGGGCCATTAAGCTAACTGGCAGGCAGGGCTGCCATGGCGTGGAGGCTGCTGGTTGCCTTTGGCAGGAGCCAGGCCCCAGCGCTGTAAACAGTGACCTCATGGCTGAGCGCATTTGTTTGTGCTTTGGGGATTTGCCCTGGTTTCCGGAAGCTGCAGCTGCTTTGCCTCCTGTAGTATGTCAGCCCCTCTACCTTAGAAGGAGTTGGGAGGATCAAAAGATGATCAAATGAGACAAGCAGGTGGGGCCCAATGAGCATCTGACAGTTTAAGCTCACTGTTGGGCTTACTATTAATAGTTTTATTGTTGATATTAATATAAATTGTCAATTCACTTTAGGCCAATAACAGGGTCAGGTTGAGAGCAAGACTCTAGAGTTGAACCAGTTTCAAATCTTGGTTCTGTATCTTCCTAGCTGTGTGACCTTAGGCAAATGACCTTTCTTTTCAGAGCCTCAGAATGGGGATACTAATCAAAGAGCTATCTGATGGAAAGAAATGCACATGGCAAGTGCTTGGGAAGTAATAAATGATTCTGTGATCACCTGTGAGAGCTGAGGGGGCCCAGGACCACTGAGGCTCAGAGAGGAGAGGGGACAAGCCCAGGCCACAGGCTCCTGCCCTCCTGGCCGGCATGCTCTTTGCTCTCATTGGCCTCCGTCAGGGGCACAGGGCTCTGTGGGATCTGAGTTTAAGGGCTCTTGTCTACATTAGAATCCTGTAAGATGCCCGAGGTTGGGCTTTCTTGACATAACAACCCTTGAGGGTGGCGAGCACCCAGGGACAGGGATCCCATGGGGAATGCAGCAGAAGGCGAGTGGGGACTCCTGGAAGGGATGAAATCCATAGAGTCACTCAGGAACCCAGAAGGATCCAGGAATCCACATAGATCATGACTTCTTGATGGGGAATGCAGCGCCTCCCAGGTCATGGCGGGGACGGGGCGACCCCCCAGATGGAGAGGAACTGGTCTAGGTGGAAACATAGTTGGGAGAGGAGCCCTGGCCCCCAGCAGCTGCTCTCTCACTCCAGTCAGGACACAGCCGTCCCTGGGTAGTGGGTGGGGTGGGCAGTTGGGGGAAGCATCCCCAGCCAAGTGAGAGCAGGTGCAGCATTCATATTTCAGTCATCTACTCCTTCATCCATCTTTTTGCTTGTTGGAGCCTTGGATTTGTTTGTTCATCCAACCAGCATTCGTTAGGCACTTAGTGTATGCCAGACCTTGTGCTGCTGCTGGGACTCAGAGATGTGAAGGAGCCCAGGTGTGGTCCAGGGCCTTGATCTCTGTGCCCCACCACTCCTATTCCCGGGGTCTGAGCAGTATGGATGGGCGGGTAGATGGACGGATGGACTAACGAACTAATGAATGAATGAATGAATGAATGAAATGTTGATCAGAACAGGGATTCACTGGGTGACCTAACAGCCCGAAACTGGGGACCATAGCCTAGAGCCTGGGGCTGAATGAACACCTCCAGCAAAAACCCTGACACCAAACCTTAAGAGTGAGGCTGTGGGGTGTGTTAGGCCAGGTTGGGTAAACATTGGTGCATAGAGGTGAAGAAATAATCTTGACCATGTATTCAAAATCGTATTTTTTGAGCACCTAGTAAATTCCAACCACCAGCCCAAGCACTATGTTGTTTATTCCTCACAGCAGCACTCGTGACTCAGCTATGTCAATCCCCTTTATTGATGACCAAACTGAGATTTTGAATGGTTAACTAACTTGTCCCGGGTTACATACCCAGTGAGTGCTGGAATCGGGCTCAAGGATCTGGTTTTTCCCCTTGCAAAATCCTTGTTCTGATAGCGAGGAATTGCTCACCCCACTTTGTGAAAGAAGAAAGCTTGATGGCCCAGAGGGGCTGTGAGAATAGCCTTATGGGTCAGCTTCTGACTGTCCTTGGAGAGCTTCAGGGGCAGAGAGAGGCAGTGGGCAATGGAGGGAGGGGAAGGCAGTGCTGAATTTCCTTTCTGGCCGTTGTTTTTCCTGGCCTGCATCGCACACTGCCAAGGGGTCTATGCTGAGCTGGGCCTGGGCCCAGGCAGAGGGCAGAGCCAGGGAGGGCCCTCTTCCCTTCCGGCAGGGAGGAGGTGCGTGGTCATTTCCGACACTGGCAGGCACTGGGTGCTGGGCTGTCTACCCCACTCTTGTTGGCAAACCCTAATACTCCTTGCAGAGCCCTGGTCACACTGGCCCCTCAGCCAAATCCCTGGGGCTCCTCCCCAGCTTTGTGCACACCAACTTTGTGTGACCCCAAGCAAGTCACTTGCACTCTGAGCCTCGGTTCCCTTGCCAGTAAAGTGGGGACAGAATTGGGAGAAGATGAATGAATCTGGTACACAGTAAGTATTCAGCCAGTGATAGTGCCCAGCTCACTCAGGGCTGATTGTGATCTACCAGTTCAGAAGGACCTTCCTCATCTCTAAAGTCCCCCTTTCCTGGCCTTTCACTCCCAGCTAGCAGAGGATGGGACAGAGGGTGTCCTCGAGGAAATGGGGTACTGTTGCTGCAGAGTGCTGGAACCAGCATTGAGTTTGTAGCTCTGTTAGCTCTTTTCTGCAGGGATGACTTGGACACCTGCCCAGGCTTTGTCATTTGGGGCATGTTTTATATCCCAGACGATTGGAAACAGGCCTCGGGATCATATTGTGACCTTCAGCAAGTTCTGCCTCTTTCTGGGCTTCAGTTTCTCAAAGCAGCAGCTACCACTCACCCAGCGCTCACTGTGTAGCCAGTGGGCCAAGCCTTTTGTGCAATATTCAGTCCTGTTGGGCCCATGAGGTTGGTGTTGTTATTACTGCACTCATTTTGTAGTTAAGGAGACTGAATAGGGAAATGATTTGCCCAGAATCACATGCTAGTTAGTGGCAGAGAAGGGGTTCAAGTGGCTCTGGGGCTGCCCATCTTGCTCTGAGTTTCTCCTCTTTAATATGACCTTCTGGCCCAGTCACAGGTTCTGTGAGGACTGGCAACAGGATGGCTGGAAGAGGCATTTGGAAGCATTAAGGGCCCCATGTGAATGAAAAAGCATTTCTAAGATCAGGCAGGGACTTTACAGCTTTCTGAGAGCTGAACTATGATATAGACATAAGGAACACGGGGTGCCTGGGTTTGGATTTGGGTTCTATTACTTCCTGGCTATGTGACCCTTGGTGAGTTACTTAACTTCTCTGTGCCTCATTTTTCTCAACTGCTAAGTGGTGAAAGAACCTGCCTGCTCAGGGGTTGCCCTGCAGCCCAAATGGGGTGGCCCCTCAGCCTGCTAACGCCCTGCTCATCACCTGCCCTTGCCCAGGTCTCTAAGGACATCTCTGTGAGGCTGCATAAGGAGCTTGAGGCAGTGGAAAAGAAACGGGCACGGCTGGAGGAGGAGAACGAGGAGCTTCGTCAGCGGCTCATCGAGACAGAGCTGGCTAAGCAGGTGCTGCAGACGGAGCTGGAGCGGCCGAGAGAGGTGAGGACCCGGTCTATCCCAGGCAGGGCCAGGCCGGCGGCAGTGGGCATGTGCCGGCCCCACCTAGCCAGTGTCTCTGCATGGTTAGCCCTCCCTGGCAGAGCTGTTTATTAATTTGTTCCTCCAGCACACATTTCCTGAGCACCTTCTGTGTACATTGTGTGCTGGACACTAAGGACACAATAGATAGTGAATGAAAGACACCGGTTCCTGTCCACAACTAGACTACAGGCTCATGAAGGAGACAGTCATCCGTCGCAGGACCATAGCTGTCAGAGGATTAACTGAAGGAACATGCAACAATGCCCAGCATGGTGCCTAGCCCTGTGTACTTTAGTTTCCTCATCTATAAAATGGGATAATAATGCCTTAAGCCATTGTGAGGACAAGCTGGGATAACTTGTGTGTACATGCTTTAGGGACTGCCACTCAATATAAAGTCAGTGCTAGGGCTAGGCCTCTGGCCAATGTATTAACAGAGATTTCAGGACACTGGGCACTTCCTGAATATGACCCCCAGACACCAGCCTCTCTGCCTTTGATCATTCCAGTCCCTCCACCGGGCATGTCCTTTCTTCTTCCTGCATGTTATGTTAAGTGAACAGCATGTAAGGCACCCAACAGCGTTCTGGACACATTATCTCAATTTTCATAAAGGCTCAATGAGTGTGATCATACCCATTTTATGGATAAGAAAATAGCCCCTGAAGGGGGAGGACGTCCTCAAGGTTTTGCAGGGCCAAGTGGGCTCTGTAGAACGCCAGTTGGAAACCATCAGCTGAGGTGACCCCTAAAGGCTGGAATTCTGTAGATTCCAGGGGTCTATGTTCCAGACAGCCCCGCGGTGGCTTCTGGCCCCAGAGGCATAGCTGGGCCTCAGCTGTCTGGCTGCTCATGAGGTATGCTAGGATCGTACATCATTCTGGGACATAACTCTTTTACCTTCCCCGAGGGCAGGCATGCCAGCGTTCTAGAACTGAGACACCACAGTCCTGAGCCAGCATAGTCCTTCAGCTGCCCTTCCCTCTGGGCGTGTTTGTGTGATGTACCAATAGCTTCATAGTATGAGGACATGGGGTGTTGGCTGCTGTGGAACTGTGCCCGTTCCCAGGGAGCCTCTCTCAGGCAGCCTCCTGTCCCCCAAGGCCTGACCTATAACACAAGGCATCATCACACATCTTGTTGCTGCCACCCTTGGTAGTGAAAAGAGGAGACGATTTCAGAAAGCACTTGGAGGTCGGCCTGTTCCTATTGTAAAGGAGAGAAAACTGAGACCTAGAGAGGGACAGCTTGCCTGAGTTCACCCAGCCCGTCCTTGGCAGAGAAGCAGCTGAGACCCTGAAGCCACTTCCCGCTTTAAGTTTCAGTTTCTTCATCTGTGATGTCAGGATAATAACAGTACACATCATACAAGGTCGCTTATGATCATTAATAACACTGGGTGACCATCAAACACTATGGAGAAGTTAGAAAGAATGAGATAGTATGGCACTTCCTGAAAAAGCGAAACAGAGAATAACCAAATAAGCCAGCAATTCCACTTCTGGGAAAATACCCAAAAGAATCGAAAGCAGAGACTCAAACGTATATGTGTACCCCCGTGTTCAGAGCAGCATTATTGATATAAGCAACCCAAATGTCTATTGGTGGATGAACAAAAATGTAGTATGTGCACACAGTGGACTATTGGTAAGCCTTAAGAAAGAAGGAGATTCTGACAGGCTACAACATGGATGAAGCTTGAAGGCATGATGGTAAGTATAATAAGCCAGACACAAAAGGACAAATATTACATGATTCCACTTACATGAGATACTTAGGGTAGTCAAAGTCATAGAGGCAGAAAGTAGAATCGTGGTCATGAGGGGCTGAAGGAGGAACAATTGAGGAATTAGCGTTTTTGTAACTTTAGTAGAGTTTCAGTTTGGAATAATGAAAAAGTTCTGGAGCTGAACGGTTGTGATGGATGACAACATATGAATGTACTTAATGCCACTGAAGTGTATACTTGAAAATGGCTAAAAGTGGTAAATTTTATTATGTTTATTTTACTATAATAATAAAAAAAAGAATAAGGTAAATATATACAGTTGGCCCCCGAAGAACATGAGTTTGAATTGCAAGGGTCCATTTATACATGGATTTTTTCCAATAGTACCATAAATGTATTTTCTCTTCCTATGGTTTTCTTAATAACATTTTCTTTTCTTTAGCTTACTTTATTGTAAGAATACAGTATAACATACAAAATATGTGCTAATCAACTGCGTTATCAGTAAGGCTACTGGTCAACAGTAGGCTATTAGTAGTTAAGTCTTTTGTGGAGTCAAAAGTTATATGCAAATTTTTGACTGCAGAGTAGGGGCTATGTGTAACCCCCATGTTGTTCAAAAGTCAGCTGTATGTACTGACATGCACAGGTCTTTTTTTTTCTTTTGGTGCCAAAATCCGGGATCGGACCAATGCAAAGATATTTAAGGTACATAGTTAAGCAGGAAAAGAAAGTTATAGAACTATACATACTGTGCAATCCACTAATTATTTTGAAAAGCCATACAGGACAAACTGGTTTTGAAGCATGTATGTATATATGCAAATGCATAGCAAAAGTCTGGAGGAAAATCTGCTAAACTGAGGAGTTAAAAATAGTAGGAGTGGAGTTGGGAATGACTTTTGTTTTTATACTATTAATGCCATATTTTGGTTTATTTGTTTTTTAATAATAACATATTTGGGTATTATTAGTGAAATTTTAAATGCAGTCAAGCATGTAAAGAGCCCTTTGCAGTGCCTGGCACACAGTAGGTCTTCATGAAACACTAGTTCACTACCCCTTTGAAGGCAATGTCAGCAAGGCTGGTCTAGCCCTCCCTGATGTGCTCCTTGGTATCTCAGGATCTGGGCAAGGAGACGTGGCTCTGTGTTTATTTGCTGCTTGCCCTCTCCCTACTCCCTTTCCTTCCTGACATGGTTTCTATGGAGACAAGGGTCCCTTAGTAATTCTTCTGCCAGAGCATCAAGAACTGCCTTTGCCATCCTGACAGGTTGCTGTGACGATGCTGTCACCCGGCTGAGAACAGGAGCCCCTGGCCTGAGCTGATGTGGTTGCCATGGAGATTGCTCTTCGCTAGAGAGGGTGACCATCCCTAGCCATGCTCTCTGGTAGCACTGTTGCCCAGCTGGGCTGCAGCTCAAGAATTGTAACACAAGCCTCCCCCTTATCAGTATCATTCCCCCTTCATGTATTTTAAGCAGAAAGCCAATATCAGTATTGACATGATTTATTATAATATAGCTGCTGTGTCTGAGTGTTTGCTCTGTACCAGGCACCACACCAAGCATTTTGTGTAAGTCCTCATGTGTAACAACAGCTTCCTTATGTACATAGTCCTGTCATTCCCATTTCATAGGTGGTAATCTTCTTGGTAATTTTTTTAATTGCGATATAATCTACATACCATAAAACTCATCATTTAAAAGTATACAGTTCAATGGTTTTTAATATATTCATAATGTTGTGCAATTCCAGAACATTTCCATTGCCCCGAAAGAACCCCTGTACCTGTTAGCAGTCAGTCATTCTCCCTTCCCTCCAGACCCCGGCAACCACTAATCCACTTTCTGTCTATATGGATTTGCCTGTTCTGGAAATTTCACACAAATGGAATCATGCAATAGGTGAATTTCTATGACTGGCTTCTTTCATTTAGCCTAATGTTTTTAAGGTCTATTCGTTTGAAGCATGTATCAATACTTCATTCTTTTTATGGCCAAATAATAACCGTTATATGGATATAGCACATTTTGTCTGTCCACTTGTCAGTTGATAGACATTTCTCTTGTTTCTACTTTTTTGGCTATGAATAATGTTACTGTGAATATTTGTGTACAAGTTTTTGTGTGAATATATGTTTTCAGTTTTCTTGGGTATATATCAAGGAGTAGACTTGCTGTATATAGGTGGGACTGGGGAAAGAGAAAGATAGATAGGATTCGAAGCCAGAACTCTACCTCCCAAAGCCACACTGACTCCTATGGTGATGCCCTTGCCCTCCGTTCCCCATCCAGGGGCCTTTCTAGGGCCCTGCTGTGTTCTCAGAACTTCTGAAGAGGCTGCTCACTTCGTCAAGTACCTCCTTCTCTGGCACAGGCTTCTTGTGCTGATTCCCACTCTGTTGGGGTAGGAAGAGCACTGACCATGGCCTCAGGTCACCTGGGTTCAATTCTCGGTTCTCCTGGTGTTGTCATCTAATGCAACCTAGCTAGCCATGGTCTATGTGGTGTGTGGCAAACGCAAACTTGGAGTCTCTTGGGCCTGAGTTTGACTTCTGACTTTGCCACTTATTTGCAAATAACTGTAACATTGAGCAAATCATAGAACTGCTCCAGTGCTCAGTTTATTCATTTATAAAATGGGAATATTAATTCCTGCTTCTGAGAGGTGTTTGTGAGAATTAAGGGAGACAAGCAGGTAAAGTGCTTAGCAGAGAATAGGGCTTAGTAACTACTGATTATCATTATCCTTACCCTCCCAACCATTACGAGAGCTGTGGGTCTGGAGAAGCTTTTACCTTTGTTAAACCAATACATATCTGCTGCCTCTGGCAAGGAGCTTTCCATGTCAGCCCCACCCTTGGAAGGAGCAGTTACATTGCAAATGAACACCTACAGTTGGCAATGTCTATCCCTGTGCCTTTTGATTTGGGGCTCATGCCTAAACCACTCTGTTTCCTCCCCCAAAATGGTCTCCTCCAGCCAGAAGCCACACAGCCTCTCTGTCTAGCTGTTTCAACCACTCTGGAGGAAGAATGCCTCAGTCTTTGAGAGGCACCCCCACCCCATGTCCCTTCTAGAGTAAATTTCGCAAATACAGCACAGTCTGTGTTTCAGTGAGACCTTTCCAAACATCCCCTCAAAGTTTGGTGAAAATCTACCCAGCTGCTTTGGCAGAAGATTCATTTTATTCCTTGAAGGTTGGTCTTTGTTCCCGGGCAGCATGG